GTGTGAAAAAAACACTCACCCTGACCGACATAAGTTTCACTGACGAAAGTGCCGGTGTGGACAGAGCTGTGTCAGCGAAAGATGCTCTCCTGCTGATGTAGCTACTGCCGCTTGTTGGGGGTGGTTTCATTATGCTGGTGGGAGAGCTCTCTCCCTTTGGCATAGAGCGGCTACACAGGAGACCTTACAGTGGTGCAGATGCAGCGGTACAGCTGTGCTCCTATAAGGTCTGTAGTGTAGATATAGCCTAACTAATCCCATGGGTATAATCAGTGGCAAAAATCAAGGCCAAAATATTTGAAATGCACTAGAAATATGTGATAACCAGTGTTGCTGACTCACAGCTATTTATCTGCTTTTGTGGGATTTTTCTCAGAACTGGATCAGGAAAATGTGCTAATTTAGATTTCTGGAGCCATGTTCTGAAAGGTGGTGAAGCACTGGAATGGGTTACCTAGGGAGGTGGTGGAATCTCCATCCTTAGAGATTTTTAAGGCCCGGCTTAACAAAGCCCTGGCTGGGATGATTTAGTTGGGGTTGGTCCTGCTTTGAGCAGGGGTTGGACTAAATGACCTCCTGTGGTCTCTTCCAACCCTAATCTTCTATGAGTCTACGATTTTGAAGCAGAACTCCCCACTGAAATCAATTAGGAATTCTGCTTTGAGACTGATGGCTAAATATGGCCCCCAGTGTGTAACAAATAGTTCCCTTCCTATTCTTTCCCCTACCTCCCACCCCATTCATTGGCTTCCTACCTACCCCCCTCTTCTACCTCTACACCCACATTCTTTTTTTCAGACTTGTTCTCTCTCTCTCTCATTCTTTCTCTCTCTCTTTCTTTGTGTGTGTCTTGTTCTCTCTGTCTCCCTCTCCCAACACACCTCCCCTTTCTCTTATGAAGCTCCATTCCCCTTGTCTGACTCACCCCTCCCTTCCTGGCCTCCTTTGCGTCTCTCTCATGGGTGGTTTTGTCTCTCTGGTTTGTGTGGTCTGCCCTGCACATTCCAGCTCTTTTCTCTTCAGGACCCAACATGTTCCACACAGAGAGGGGATTTATAAAATGGATTATGCTTTGCTATTCAGTCTTTTGTTATCAGAACACACCTTTTTCTTTTGTTTTATGTATTAGGATGTCTGTGTGTCTCTGTACATATTTGTGTGTCTCTTTACTACGTGTGAGTCTGTGTGTCTATAGTATGAATGTGTATATGTAAATTGGTGTATCTGTTTCATTGTGCATGTTACACACAAATACATAGGGTCCGATCCTTCTGTTACATGTAAGACCTTTGCCACTGACCTCATTGTAAGCAGGATTAGGCCTATACACACTGGTCTGAGACTGAGTGTATTTGTGTATATGTTTCTGTCAGATACGTTTGTTTCTGTGTCATGGCTGTGAATGGGTGCAACACTCCATGTGCATGTCAGGGCTGTGCCTTGAGATGTGACAGTCTGACTTGGGGAAGAGGGGAGATTTCAGAAGGTGGAAAATATTTTAAAAGCCCCCTTGAACTGCACTCACAGCAGAATCCAGTGGAGGGAGAGAATTTAAACACCACCTTGAAATAAATCCCAACTAAGGGAGTCTCCACCCCCAGCCCACCAGCAAGAGAGATTTGAAACAGCAGGTCTGGATGTTGCATATGCGTGTATGTGTCTGTGACACAGGAACTTTGCCCAAACTTCTTCATTCAGAGCAGCCCCTCTTTCAGCCTTGGCTTTCACTGGAGGAGGAGGAGGACAGAGCGGGGAGGGGGACTGTTCCATTAGCTCAGCAGGGAGAAAGTATTCCCATACCCATCCAACAAAGCAGCTACTTCTTCTCTTCTCCACCCACAATGGAGTGGTAGAGTCTTGCTGCTCCTCTCTATGGGCCAGATGCTCCCCTTTGTAGTTAAAAGGGGCAGAAAAGGGAAAGACGTGAAAAAATTTACTACAGAACTGAGCTGAGTAAGGGCCTGGTGCTAAGAAGGGCTGAGTACCTAAAATTTCCACTGAAGTTAATAGCAGCTGCAAGAGCTCAGCAGGTGCTCTGCATCTCTCAGGATTAGGACCCTAATTAATATGTATCCATCTAGTCATAAAGAGGGGGGAAAAGGCTTGTAGTAATCAGGGGCTGTGGGGATTAAGGGGATCCCACTGAGGGGATTAAGAAACCGGCTATGCTTTTGGGAAAGGTGTAGACAACTGTGCACTGCTACACTTAAAGCATAATCTGCAGGAAGGGCCACTGTGTGTGGAAAAGTGCAGAAAACTTTTTAGAGTACCTTACAGTCAGACCTGTGGCCATGTCTGCAGATGGACCCTTTTTAAAATAGCCACTGAATCATATGTATTGTGGTGGGGTGTGTGTGTGTGTGTGTGTGTGTGTGTGTGTGTGTGTATGTTTATAGCTGTGCCTCGTTCTGGAGGGAATCATAACTGCTTAACTGTGTGTCATAGGCCTTACACTGCTAGCAGCAAAGGAAGATTCCCCTTCAATAGCTGTCACCTGGGCTTTAGGAGGAGGCACCTCCAAGTTCTACCCCTTTCCACTAACATAGGCCCAGTTTCTAATCTGCCGGGGGGTGCTCACCCTGGCTCCGCCCTGGCCCTGCCCCCACTCCACCCCTTTCCCCAGTGCCCCACCCCCACCCTGCTCCTTCCCACTCCCGCTCTGCCCCGCCTCTTCCATGCCCAGTTCTGCCCCCTTCCCCTGGCACGCTGCGCCCTCACTTCTCCCCCTTCACCTCCCCTATGCCTCCTGATGCCACAAAACAGCTGTTTGTGGCAGGCGGGAGACGCTGGGAGGGTGGGGGAAGTGCTGATTTGCAGGGCCCGCTGGCGGGCAGGAGGCGCTGGGGGAAGGGGAAGATTCTGATAGGGGGGCTGCCAGTGGGTGCCTCTGGAACTCGTCATCTGGTCTCTGCCCCGCGAGCCTCCCTGGCTGCCCCGATGTGCAAATTAAGTCAGCTGAATGCCATCCAGCTTGTCTGCCTCTGAACAGCACCCAGGAACCATCTGTATGTGCTCATGCTTCATACCATCCAGTTCCTCACCCTTGTGCCACACCCCAACACCACGTGGTTGGACCTGTTGCCACTTAATGAGGGTGAAGAGCCCCACTGGGCCAGTCTGTATTACACTCTGGTCCCATGGTTCACAGGTGATATTAGCTGGTGGCTCCTTCATGAAGCCATAAGCACAGGTGTCTACCTGGCACAGTTTACAAACTCCCCAGACACCTGTCCTTTCTGCAGCAAGAAAGAGATCCTGGCACACATCTATATAGGTTGCATCAGGTTGCAGGCCCGATTCCAGCTCCTACAGAAGCTCTTATAGAAGTTCTGGCTGCACTTTTCTTGCACTTCCTGATCCTCACACTCCATCTGTGGCCTCACAAAGTTGCAGGATCTCCTCAACAGCCTCTTCCTGGCACTGGCCATGATGGCCATCCATCATGTCAGAAGGAGGAAGTTGGATGGGGTTGAAGGGGTTGCTCTGCAACTGTGAGGCCTATTTCTGCTCCTTCTTGAAGTCACATCTCCAGGCAGAGTTCATCTAGGTCATCTCCTCTGGCTCCCTGGGTGCCTTCGAGGAGCAGTGGGTGCTGTCTGGGGCTCCCTGCTTTTGAACCAATGATGCTCACTACCATCCCTGTTTTTTTCATTTGTTGTCCCCCAAATTTACTATACTTGAGCAGGTTTCAGAGGAACAGCCGTGTTAGTCTGTATTCGCAAAAAGAAAAGGAGTACTTGTGGCACCTTAGAGACTAACCAATTTATTTGAGCATGAGCTTTCGTGAGCTACAGCTCACTTCATCAGATGTATACCGTGGAAACTGCAGCAGACTTTATATACACACAGAGAATATGAAACAATACCTCCTCCCACCCCACTGTCCTGCTGGTAAGATAAGATAGCTTAGATAAGCTATTACCAGCAGGACAGTGGGGTGGGAGGAGGTATTGTTTCATATTCTCTGTGTGTATATAAAGTCTGCTGCAGTTTCCACGGTAAACATCTGATGAAGTGAGCTGTAGCTCACGAAAGCTCATGCTCAAATAAATTGGTTAGTCTCTAAGGTGCCACAAGTACTCCTTTTCTTTATACTTGAGCAGTGGGTTCAGTTGCTCCTCCTCTTTGGCTGGGGGAGGGATCTTTAGATGTAGCCTGGCTTGGGCCCACCCTTTTCCCCAGGAACTCAATAGGTGTGGGGCCCATTTTCGTTCCCTGCAGTGTTCACTGGCTCCTTAGAAACCTTTGAGGAGCAGTGGGTGCTGTCCCCTTTTGGCTACTTGATTTTTGCCAAAGACCTTCACTGTCCCTGTTTTTCCATTTGTTGTCCCAAGTACTCAGTTGTGGCCTGGGTTTGCTGGCACAGCCCCTGGCTAAGGGGAGTGCCTTGCGCTGTGTCTTCCATTTTCCTGGTACCCACAACAGGCACCACAAAGTTTGGTGTGGCCATGGTGTAGAGCCCAAGGGGCTGGAAATTTCTTCTCTCTCCCCCCCCCCAGGGCAAATTCTGCTGGGAGCTGTGGGTCACGGCTGTCACTTTTCTGAACAACCTACTTTGCTTTGCCGGAGCAGCATGTGCAGCTCTTGAGCTCCGCCCCCCTCTTGATCCCACACCTCCGCGGACCAGCCCCTGTCAGGGGAGGGGACAGTGTCCCGTGGGGGACCTCGCTTGCGCTGGGAGCTGGGCTCCCTCTGGGCGTTTCTGGGCAGAGCTGGGGCACCGAACTGGGTGGAGGTTTTGCAGTGAGCTGCAGCACTTCTCGGCGCCCAGCTCACGGGAGCACCTAGGCCTCGGTGACACGCGAGAGAGATGCCCAGGGCAGAGCTGTGCGGCAGGACCCAGCCTGCAGCAGCTCTGACTCCACCCCCCAGGCAGAGGGGAGCCCCAGCCCGGAGCGCTGAGTCCCGGGCACTGGAAGGACGAGGGACCCCAGCCTGCCCTGGAGGCGCTGGGCGGAGCGTGAGGAGAAAGGAGACGGCCCCAGCGTAGAGCTCCGCCCCCGCCCCACCCCACGGGCAGAGGGGAGCCGCAGGGACAAGGGAGTCTGAGTGGGGGACTGGCCCCCGCGCGGAGCCCCGCCTCCGGCAGCTCGAGAAATGCTGCCGGTGGAGTGGAGAGGGAAGGAGCCGCGGCGGCTGGGATTGGGGATCTGGTGGGGGAAGCAGCGGCTGCAGCAGTAGCGGGAGCTGCTGCTCCGGGGCGGGGGGGTCCTGCAGCCATACAGAGCTCCCTGCGCATTGCACTGAACCTCGGGAGCTGAGCCGGGCCTCTGCAGGGGGAGAGGAGGAGCAGGGGGCTGAAGGGAGAGAGATCCCCTCGAGGGAGACAGGCAGCTCAAGGGAGAGCGATACTGGGAGAAATCCGAGCAAGGGAGACCTAGAGATCCCACCCTGGGGAAGAGCGAGAACAAGGGAGAGAAAGAGATCCCAAATCAAGGGAGAGCGAGAGATCCCAGCACGAGGGAAATTCCAAGAAGAGATTAGAAGAAAGAGATCGGGAGAAAGGTCCCAGCAAGAGGGAGTGAGAGCCTAGCAAGAAAGAGACCCCCATGAGAGGAGTCTCCCAAGCAAGAGATCCTATGAAAAAATCAATCCCAGTAACAGAGAGAGGCAGGCAGAAAGCGATCAACAAGCCTGAGAAGACAAAGCACTAGTCAATGTACAGTAAGTAACAGTCCTGCACTGGCCCCAAGGAGATGGACTAGATGAAACCTACATTCTTTGTGTTTTAACTTTTCTGATGCTATGAGATTGGCATAATTCTAGCAGAAAAGATCCCTGAGAAAGCTTCCTGAATGACCCTAGAAAGATCAAAGTAAAGAGAAATATTATTAGGATCCCTGCAGAATAGACTGCAGAGAAAGAGAGAGGGAGAAAGAGATATCATCGTATACCAGCAGAAGGGAGAACACAGGAGAGAGCGAGATCATAGAGTAAAGACTTTGTGATCCCATCAGAAGAGATCTGAGAGGGAGCCATCATCCAGGACATCCTCAGTTCTCTGTTGTGAGATCCTAGGGGAGAAACAGAAACAAACCAGGTACTTTTTCTGAGTGACATTCCAACTCCTTTTTTATGGGAAAGGGGGTTTGTGCTGTTTAAAAACCTGTGTTAGTGGGGCTGGAAGCGGGTGTCCAGGCTTCCTTCTTCTGTCAGATGCTATATGGAAGCAGAGACGGGAGAGATGAGCTGTATGAAATCAGGTCATGGTTTTGCTACTGCACAGCTGGGCTCATGGATATTACAAGCACAAGCAGATATTTCTCCCACATGCATGGCTTTCAGTTTGCTTGTTTCTGGCTATTTTTCCTCTCTGTAGCTCTTTCAAGAGCATCTGCTAAATGATGCCTTTTCTTTTCCTGAAACGGAGAAATGTGTGGAGTAGGTTTACCCTTGGTGTAACTCTGCTGAGGTTGATGGAATTACAAAGGAATGCCTTTGGCCCTTGCGTGTAGGTTGTTTAATGTGCCTGCAGTGGGGCATGCAGGGTATATATGTGTTTGTGGGGGAAGGAGGGGCAGGGTAGGGGTTAAAATTAACCTACTTCCTGGGGATGGTGGAAATTAATATACTCAACTGACAAAATCTGTGTGAATGTTGTGGGTTGTGACAGTTAACCTAACATTTACTCTATGGTCCCAGTGAGATGATCTAACTTCATTCAAAGTCTCACCTCCTATACCCCTGTCCCTTGGTTGAGGAGGAGCTCTCTTGCCCTCTCCCCCAGCTACGTGGACAGAAGATGAAAGATAGTGAGGGAAAGAGTGCCCCAAGAGGGGACTCCCTCAATAGCCCTATTACTCCTTAATTATTCTGCTGGGGGTGGGGAGGGAGAAACCAAATGCAAATAGCAAACTGGATTACTAAAGCAGAAGGCAGTGCTGATGGGGGAGTTGCCTCCAGCCATGTCTCCTGCTGCTGCTTAGCCTGGCACTGCCTCTTCTCCCCGTATCCAAGCAGGGTTGCCACCTCAGCTGGGAAGAAAGGGGGCGCTCCCTCCCTCCTACTGTAGTGGGGTCCTTATCAGAATCCTAGAAACTAGATCTGGAAAGCTCTGTTAGAACATAGCTAATCCATCTCCCTCTCCTCCCCCTCCCCCACTGCCACTGCAGGATTGTACTCTCCTATCTATTCTCCTGCTGAGGCTTCCCTTGGGGAAACTATTCCACAGTCTACTCAGTCTTTGCTCTTACATGTTTCCTGAGCTCCCGCCTGAAAATATCACCCTGGCTTAAAATTCATCCCATAGTTTCAACCCCTTGCATCTCCCTAAACAATTCCTCTGTGTGTTGGCAGCCCTCAGATACCTGCAGGCAGTTATATCCCTGTCCCTGTTCCCCCACCACCCATACTCCTTTAGCCGGGTTAGATTTGTTAATCTCTCCTCACAAATCAATCCCTCTCTCCAGCCCCGTAATCATTTTGCTTACTGTTCTCTGAATTCCTTCCAGTTTGTCACCATCTTTCTGGCAATGGCGTGCCCAGGACTGTATGTGTGTGAGGTGCCTTAATACTGAGTAAAATATCGTCTCCTCACTCTGAGCAGTGGAGCCTTATCAAGAGGGGCTGTTGCCTCTTTGCTCTGAGTGCTGGAGCAATGTAGGCCTGGTCTGCACCTAAAAGATAGGTTGAACTAGTTGTTCACTGAGAGACGTAGTTAAGCCAATTTAAGCCCCAGTATAGACCTGCTAAGTTGATGGAAGAATTTTTCCCTCAACCTAGCTACCACCTCCCGAGGGGGTGGATTAACTACAGTGATGGAAAAACTCCTTCTGTTGCTGTAGCAAGTGTCTATGCTGTGGCCCTACAGTGGCACAGCTGCAGCACCTCAGCTGTGCTGCTGTAGTGTAGAGAAGCCCGGAGAAAGGGACAGTAGTTTCCCTGCTGTATGCTGAGCTCCTCAGCTCTTCCAAACTGTTATTTTAGCGAGAACAGCTTGAGCTGGTGGAGGCTGTATTTGGCAAGGAGGGATCATTTCTCTCCTTTCTCCCAAGCCTGCTACAGTCTTCACCTCCCTGCCTTTTACTTGAACACATGCTGATGATAAGGTGTAAATATTTGGGGGGAAAGGCAGTTGGTGACCTCAAAGAGACACATGCTCACCCCCAGTGTGTGTCACTGTCCCACAAGCTGCTGTATATGCCCATAACAAAGATAGCTGCTCCCCAGGGCCGGATTAACCTTTTGTGGGCCTGGCGCCAAACATATTTGTGGGCCCCCATGGAAGCAATGGAGCATGGTGATGGGGAGGTCAGACCCCAGAGCGAGGGGCCAGCCAGAGGCAATGGGGCATGGCATGGCAGGGGCAGCCCTGCTCCGCCCAATGTGAGGGCACTATTTAGTTGCCAGACGCACAGTGGCCTGCCCGGCTGTGTGCTGCCAGCATGCCCCTTGCCCTCGGGGGCAGGCCCATGCCACACCACACAGCCTCCCCTGCCCAACACCCCCCCAACTCCCTTTGGCCAGAGCCCCCCTGGACCCACTATGCCCAGCTCTCCCCGCAGACCCTTCCACAAATGCAGTGTCCTGCGCAACACCACCCCTGCCCACAGCCCCACCACAACTGCCCAGCACCCCCTACAGAACCCTCCCTAGTGCCCCAACACACAGCGATCATCCCCGCCCCTTCACAGCCCAGCACCCCCCCCCATACTCCCCATACTTCCCACAGACCCACTCCCCTAAGCCCTGCCTCCTGGCTGCACTCAGTGGCCCTGCTGGGAGGCAACTGTCTCTGCCGGGCTGAGCCGGCAGCACAGCCAAGGCTGGTCCCAGAGTGAGGAATCGCTCCGGCCCCTCGGGAGTGGCGCGATCAGCCAGGGGCCTGTTCTGGCCAGGGTCCCTCAAGATGCACTTGCCCAGCCAAGCTCTCCGCACTGTCTTCCCCTACCTGGCTGAGGCTGACCAGGCTTCTGCACCAGTCCCAGGCGCTCAGCTTCAGGGAGACAGGTGGGGCCCCACAGGTAATGGGAAGCAGAGACTGCCCAGAGCCAGAGGTGCACTGGGATTGGGCCAGGGGGCTGAGAGGAGCAGGGGGTGGGGCCAGGGGGTGGAGAGGAGCCCTCGGCCAGCTGGCAGGCAGGTCAGGAGGAGCAAGTGGTGGGCGGGGGGAGCCAGCAGGGTCTTGGGGCGCAGTGCAAGTTGAGTAGGCCAGGGCCCCTCAGCATGGGCCCAGCTCCATGGAGCCACTGTAAACCTGACACTGCTGCTCCCTCAACCCATGAATGCTCATCTTCCTTATGCCCATCATGTATGTTCCCCTCCCCCCAAGACACACACATCTTTCCCTTCTCTGAGCAATGTGACTGACTCTTGCAGGTGCATCTCCTGCCCCTCTACATGTCTTCTCCCCTGAGATGCTCATCTTCATCATGCATCCCCTCTATATGTGCACTCCACCATTTTCCCTCTCCAACCCCTTGGGAGAGCAGGGGAATGCACCCATAACACCCCTCCCTGCCCTTTTATTGTTTCAAAACAAAAACACTATTAATGACAGTTATGGTGGTGGAGTTAACTTTTGCTTCTCCTGACTGATTTTAAAGTTCCCCCAGCACAAATAGCCTGGCTATGTGCATATTTTATAATGTATATTTAACACAAACAATAACAAACACATGCAGAAGAAACAGAAATAAAATATATTACATATAATCAGTGTTGCAAAGTTAATGTTGCTTGAGGGAACCTTAACTTGTTTCATTGCTTGTCTTTTTGTGATTTTTAGCTGCTGCCTTACAGTGCAATTCTGCTTTGCAAAGCTTGTGTAGAAATGGCATCATGGGGCTCCATGTTTATCATCCATCAGCAATTCCAGAACAAATGTGCTCAGCTTACATGTAAACAGATTTTACAGAAAAACAAACAAAAAAAATATGCAAAGTGGAAAGCTCACCTAAAAGAAAACCTAGGAGGGAGTTGATGAATTTAACCTCTGTACTTTGTTCTTATTTATCTTTTCCTTGCCACTCACCCCATCTTTCTCTCTTTTTTCCTTCTCCTCCTGCTTAAATGTCATAGTACTATTGTTCTTACCATTATAAAAAAGAAAATCCTCTTGCTCTGTTTTGTCAGAAAGCTTTGTATCATCTTACAGCAATCACGTATTTTAAAGATTGGTTTGCTAACTGCCAGTCCCACAAACTCAGCTCATGTCTGAAAGTCAAGCCGGGCTTTTTCCAACTCTCACCTCATTACTACTAACAGAACTTTTGCATAGTTACATCTGTGTCACCCCAATGCCTTCATATTTGCTCTCATTAACACCTGTGCAATCTCGTGACCTTCAGTGACTGTGCACAGGTGTAACTTTTTAGAGCTTAGTAAGTACATCATCTTTTCTTGTGCCTTATCCACAGAAGTCCAGCACCCTCTCTCTCTAGGGTGAACAGAAGTAAAAAAACAGGAAAATCTCATTTTAAACACTAAAATCAGCCTCTCTGGCTCTGAATATGCATAAGGAACAGGTCTGCTGAGTCAGAGGCCATTTGCACAATATCACTTTTCAGAGTTGAAATGCACTATATGTTTATAATTTTTTTTAAAAAAATGCACCAGTGCTGTCTTCCCAGCTGCACACATACAGTGCTTACAACCAATGTTCCTGTACCTTCACAAATTGTGTACTCTTTTAAATACACTCTTACTACATCTGCTCTTAAAGAAGCATGCACTTAATGGAGGCATTGGTGCTGTGTTTGCAGGAAATGCACCTATGCCTCTACAAAGTCAGCTGGGAGCCACTTGGAGACCTGGGGAAAAGACTCCTCTTTCCCAGATATACACCACCTGAGAGGTGCTTGAAGACAGAGGCGCCGACTTTCTAATGTACCGGGGGTTGCTCGACCCCCAGCTTTGTCCCAGGTCCCACTCCCACTTCATCCCTGCCCCTTCCTGCCCCCCGCCTCTTCCTGCCCCATTCCTCCCCCTCCCTGAGTGTGGCCCACCCTTACTCCTCCCCCTCAGCACCTCCTACATGCTGTGGAACAGCTGATCCACAGTAGGCAGGGGGGAGGGGCTGATCAGCGGGGATGCTGGAAG